GGGGTCTGAAGGGAGGTATGAGGCGTGTGAGGGGTCTGGGGGGTGTGTGGGGCCTGTGAGGGGATGTTTGAGGGGTGAGGGAAGGGGCACCTGAAGGAATCCAAGGGGGCACGTGAGGAGTCTGGAGGGATGTCTCAGGGGGCTAGTGCGGGCTCTGAGGGGGCGTGAGGGGCCTGGAGGAGGGGCTGAGGCAGGTTTTGTCTGAGGCAGTGTGTGAGGGCTCTGAGGTGATGCCTGGAGTGGTATGTGAGGGCTCTGGGGGGGTGTCTGAGGGCTCTGAGGGGTGCGATGCCAGCGCAGCGGTCGCGCTGCTCCTCTCGGTTCCTGCTCCATCTCCCACCCCGTGTCCCGGGAAGCACACGCCTCCCCTCCCGTGTCCCTGCAGAAGGTGCATGTGCTGCCCCAGACCGTGCTGTACATCGCCGATGCAGAGACCTTCAGCGGCCACGAGGAGTGTCACGAGCAAAAGAAAGGTAAACGTGGACCTACCTCCTCACCCCTGTTTCAACAAGTGCTTGGGATGAAAGTAGAACAAAGCTGGCTGAAGGGGAGCTCTCCGAGTTTGAGCTTCAAGGGAGAGTAAATCCTTTGCAAAAAGCATGACCACATAGTCTTGGATTTGTAGTGTGAAACAGCTTGTAGATGTATGTTAATGTGCACAGAGGGGTTCATGTCACTCTTTGAAGGACACTGAGTCTGTTCTCATGTCAGCAGCACACAGAGCATCACAGACAGTATGTCTATTACTATGGCTCTCCGAGTTTGAGCTTCAAGGGAGAGTAAATCCTTTGCAAAAAGCATGACCACATAGTCTTGGATTTGTAGTGTGAAACAGCTTGTAGATGTATGTTAATGTGCACAGAGGGGTTCATGTCACTCTTTGAAGGACACTGAGTCTGTTCTCATGTCAGCAGCACACAGAGCATCACAGACAGTATGTCTATTACTATGGTATGTTAATCAGCAGCACACAGAGCATCACAGACAGGACATAACAGTATGTTAAGGGCTGGAATGGAGCTTAGAGATCATCCAGTCCCAACTCCCTGCCCTGGGCAGGGACACCTCCCACCAGAGCAGGTTGCTCAAGGCTTTATCCAACCTGGCTGTGAACACTGCCAGGGCTGGGGCAGCCACAGCCTCCCTGGGCAACCTGTGTCTCAGCACCCTCTGTGTTGTCTGTCTCACCACCAGACTGTGTGTTGTTAGCAGAACAGCCACTGACGGGCAGCAGTGGTACAGCAGGACGGGGCTGACTGCAGGGTTTGTTCTGGGACTGCTCGTGATATACTTCTGCTTCTCTCTGATGACTTCTTTCTTTTCTGCCTCCTTTAACAGCCAGGAAAAGAAACAGTAAAGAAACAGCCCTCGCGCTTGAAAAGCTGTTGCCAAAGCGATGTCAGGTCCTTGGACTGGTCACCCCAGGGATTGTAGGTAGGAACAAAACAGTTGAATCTGTGGGAGATCAGATTCGAGGTGTCTCCTCCCACCTTGGGCAGCACTGGTTGCAGTTGTAAGGAGTGTACAGTGTTGCAGCTAAGTGATGTGAAGCTGAGTTCATGTATTGCTGCTATAATTCATAGGGTTGATTCAACTGAGCTCTTCCTGGCACCTTAATGGAGTCATGGAATGTTGCTCGGATTGATCTGTACATTTCAGTCAGATTGTGACTAATTGTACGTGACATCCTTGGGATGTACCTGTTAGTTATGTCCTAGCAGGAGGCATATGTAATATCCATGGAAAATTCACAGCTTCCCCTGGCAGGCTTTTTCTCATGCTTCACTTTGTCATTCAAGTTGAATTTTTTTATAGTTTCTCACCTTAAATTCTCTTCCCACAGCACTGTCAAATTACCATAGGATATTTGCTTGTTGTCACTGCCATAATTCAGTAATATGGACCTAGTATTTGTGTCAGTTTGCTTTATGCTGTCATCACACACTGGTATAACACCTTAAAAACCTGAGCATATTTCTGTGCCTGCACAAGTGAGCAGGAAAGTTTGTGCCACACCATGCTTGTTTTCCAGCTCTGATATTTGGTATGACAGGGGGAAATGTCCAAATATATCCATGTCTCCTTGTCCAAAATTACTTCAGCATGATCCACAGCCAGCAGGACTTGTACATGCTTCATCTTTCCAAAACATCAACAACAAAATACTTAGAGAAGTTGTTGTGGAAATAGGTTGTCATGTTTTACATCACCTGAGCTGCTCGGCCTCTTTCAGCCTGTGTTACAGTGTGGATGACAGGATGAGAATCCTTGAAGACAAAGTGCCTGGTTTTATATCTTTGTAGTTACCCCGATGGGTTCAAGCAGCAATCAGCCTCAAGAAGTTGAAGAGGGTGAAGCTGGGTTTGCTCTGTTGTTTCCCAAAATTGATGGGGTGAAAATTCATACCTTCCATTTTTCTAAAGATGTGAAGAACAGAGTCTTTGATGAGAGTAAATTTGCTGAAGCAGGTATGTGCTTTTTCTCTCCTTTATCTGGGCTTTTGGGAAGTGTGCTGCTCTTCGAGGTGCCAGTGTGGAGTTATGTGTGGAATAGCTTCTGTGCTGGCTCCAAGAGGCCTCTGTGGCCTTGTAGAGCTGCAGCTGGTAACTGTGCATCTCTGTTCTCCCAATCTCTGAAGCATCAAGGTGAAGTTATCCTGAGTACTGGTCTCAGATTAACTGAGTTAGGTTCCAAGTGGAGCTGTTCAGAGAGAGTTATTAGGTTTTGAGCGGCTTCTAGTTGGTTAAAAATATTCCATTGGGAATTATTCCTATCACAACAAATGCGTGGGGAGGAGCTGCTTCTCTTCTTCCCTGAAACAACTTTGCATTTAGATCCTGAGTGAGATGTTACAGTAAGGAAAAGTAGAACAGAAGACAGTGTGTGTCAGCAAATACAGTTTACACTCTTCACGTCATCCTCAGCAGAGTTGGTCATTTAGGAAGAGTAATGGGATAAGGGTTTCTGCCTTGGGATGAGCAATTGGCTGAAGTGTGCAATTTACTTAGTTTTCAGGTAAAGCTATTATTTACTGCATTGTGGTTCTTGAGTAACCTGTATGCCTGGTTCTCACCTGTAAAAGGACGAGTAAGGCTGCCAAGTAAACTGAAACTCTCATACTCTGGCAAAGAAGTGGAAAGTTGGAGGAAGAAGACGCAGTAGGTCTTTTCCTTGCAAGGTTCTTTGCAGAAATTCACACTTAGGTGGGGAATGCTGCCCAGCTCTTGCATACCTGGGCAGCTGGTGCCAACTGCAGCAACAGAAAGCCTTGCTAAAGGTGTGACCTGCTATTTGAGGAGAGACTAGGACAGTTGGACTTCAGGGCTCAGGATTTAAAAAAGCAAGAGGATCAGTGTTTGGGTTTGTTTGTAGGCCTGAAGAATAACCCAGATCTCCGTGTGGTTCTTCTGTTTGGCTACAACTCCTGGAAGTCTGGAGCTACTCGGTTTCTGCATCAAATAGTCAATCCCTTGAATGAGAAAAGTATCATCCTGGCTGGGGGACAGGTGGAGAGCTTTACATCACTGACCTCTGAGAAGTAGGTATCTTTTCCAAGGTAAATGATAAATGTTTAAAATGGGAGAAAAGCTGCAGATCCATAACCTTCTAGGCATACTGGAAATGCCCATTAACAGTAGTAAAGTGACAATTTTTTAAAGAGAAAAATGTCACAACTGCTCCACTATATCCAGAAAACCTGGAAGCTTTGCATGGCTGCGTTACAAACTGGATTCAGGAAACCCAGCTAGGAGAAAGCACTGCAGAGGAGATTTCCAGCTTCAGGTCCCCTATGTGATTATTGCAGTTGGTGTTTAACCTCTGGCATGCGATAAAGGATCCCTGTTCTGACAGAGGCTATGGATGTGAAGATGTGTTTGCCTGTCAGCTCGGTCTGGCTCCCACCACAGCAGTAGCTGCAGACACTAGCAGAGCTGTGCCCAAAGCACACCTGATACATTGCTGCTGCTGAAGGATATGGCAGGATATGGTGCTCCCAGGACAGGGCTAGGTCTCACCCAGCTCGCCCCCTGCCCTCGGCCCGGACCCTGCAGGGCAGAGCTGGCTCAGTTGCTGCAGCTGCTCTGAGAGGGAGAGACAGGCCCTTGTCCCAGCTGACATGTGGTGCATCCTCCCTTGGAGCATTCCGTGCTGCGGAGCACAGTGCAGATGTGCCCACAGCCTTGTAGGCCTGGAGTCCATGCTAACACCAACGTTCTCCTTGCATCCAGTTTTGCCAGCTGCACCACTGCTCCAGATGAGAGGGCTGACCTTCCATTAAATTACTGCTGATACAGCATAAGTACATAACTACTGAAACCAGTGTGTGCTGGCCAAACGATTTAACGCAGCGTGAATCAGAAACTTTACTGACTGCTCTCCTGGTCTGATATATAAAGCTGAGTATCTTTGTCTTAAGTCTAACTGATAGTTTAGTTGGAGTTCCAGAGCTGTAGCATACACTGCAGTTTGACTGCTGAATCTGACACGTATGAACCAGTAAGCTTATGCTTAATCCACAGGAACAGATGTGGATGTCTTTCCTTGTGAAAGATTGCTAAAAAACCAAAACGTTGCTAAAATGTGAAGGCTTTGGTTTGTTTTCTCACTCTGGGTGGTGTCAGTCACTAGAGTGTGGAGCCCTCCTCCTGCTGCAGTGAGGAGTGGTCTCCCCAGAGCCTTGGCTAACTCGGTGCCCGTTGCCTTTCAGCACCAGTGCCCAGCCCGGCGACGCCTGTGGCGTGGTGGGGTTGGCCTTCAGTGGGCCCCAGATCCAGAGTGCCACTGTCCTGTTAGACCAGGACGTGGCTGACGAGAGGACAGCAGAAGCAGCCATGCAGCGTCTCAAGGCAGCAAACATCCCTGAGCACAACACCATTGGCTTCATGTTTGCCTGTGTGGGCAGAGGATATCGACACTACAAAACCAAAAGGAATATGGAAGCAGATGCATTCAGGAAGTTTTTCCCAAACGTTCCCCTCTTTGGCTTTTTTGGACATGGGGAGATAGGGTGTGATCGAATAGTTACCGGGAATTTCGTGCTGAGAGAATGTAATGACATAAAGGATGATCTGCTGCACGGTTATACCACCGTTATGACTCTCATTCATCTGGGTTCTACTAAGGCAAACCAAGCATAAATAAGTGCTTTGGTGAGCTGTTTGTTTCATTCCAGAGAGCTGAGAAGCCTGGAAGAGTGGACGTCTTGCAGTCAAAGCTCCTTCCAAAATGGAAACACCATTTTGGTAATGCTGTTGAGTCTTGTAGTTGTAATAGAGTTTAATATAATAGCTGCAAGAAAGCCTTGCATTTTGTGTAATCCCCTGTACACATCAGAATTGCAGGAAATGCTACTGATCGAGTTCTGCGACTGAAGAAAGTCTCTTTCTTCCAAAGTGAGAATGCTTTGCACAAATGGCAGTTGAATTTCAAATACCAACACGTAGAAAGAAACAGTACTTTGATGTGCTTTATTTATGTGTGTAAAGCAGTCCAGAAAAACTACTGATGCATTAAATCCACCATTCCCTGGATTTGATTTCTAGAGAGATATCACACCCTTCCCAGAGTCCTATTCACAGAACTGAATGGTTTTACTAGATAAAGTGAATGAAAATCTTTAGAGAAAAGTAACAAAGTGCTCATTAAATAAAGATGAAAATACGTCACAGTACCTTGCCTTCTATTCTTAGAGAAAAAGCTCCGATTCAAAGTGATGTTCAGCTTGGCTCACCACCTTGCACTGAGCTTCAGTTGTCTTACCTATCTGGTTTAGACTGTAGTGGTTGCCTTGTCTTGTGGATTCTCTCGTAGCATGATTGCAGACCTTTAATCCAGAGTGCTAAGGAAGAAGATTACCTGGCATCTTTAAGTTTCTTTAAGCAGTTTTTTGCTCTTTAATGTGAAACTGTGGCGCACACAGGATCTGGCTATGTTCTATTTATAGAGCTATTTTAAACAAGACTTGTGCTTTTGCATGTTTTTCCTGTGCTTTTACATCAGCCACCTGTTTTGGTTGCTGCAGCTGGAATGCAGTGTTGTTCAAGGAAGTCAATTCAGCATAGCCTCAGTAGAGCTAATAATATATTTGCTGCCTCTTAAGTTCTTTCCTCCCTTTTGTTTTCACTTAGTAATAGAATGACAAGAAAATAAGATTAATTCTGCACTATTTCACCAGACTCCTAAATGCCAAATGAGGCAGCTGGCCCATTTGCAGTGCAGTGAAAGGAAAATACTTAGCTGTATGTTGTACAACAAAATAACAGTTTTTGCTTTCAATGCTTTCAACCAAGCAAGACTACAGTTGGCAACTTTTTGCCTATGTCTAGTTAAAACTTCTGAACTTGGCCTAAGGAGCTAAGGTAAAGGTGTGTCTGTCCTGAGAGTTAACTGTTGGTTTCAGGGGGTGCTGAGCACAGACAGCATTTACCCATGGTTCTATTGATGATGGGTTTTTTTGAGTCAGAAGGCAGGATGAGCTGTGAGCTGCCAGTGGCCTTCTGTGGATGGGAGATAGGAAGTGTGGGTGTGTCTGGGACAATGCTCAGTTCCTGTGCTGAGAAGGAGAGGTGTCTGAAAATGGAGTATGGCTGAATTTTCCAAGAAGCTCTTTGGTGGGAGTTTCAGCAGAACCAGAATGCCATGTCTGGCCCTTTCAGCTGCATGTTCCACAGGAGGGAAAGGACACGTTCCATTTCTGTGGCGCAGGGAGGAGTACTGTAGCTGTCAGTGGTGTTGACTGGGCCATGAATGTTAACTGCTGTAGTAGAAGTAGATGAAGAGTGATGAACCACCTGTCCTTGACAGCAGTGCACACATGTCCAGCAGCGTCCGAAGAAGCAGATGGTGAGCTCAGAGGATGGTGCAGCAAAACTGGAACTGAGAGTGAGGTCTGAAGGAGCTAGTCATCAGCAAGGTCCTGTAGCTGCCCAGTCCTGTAGCTGAGGACGTTTCAGAGGTAAACATAGTGCAGAAAAGATGCCTGGGGGTAACACCAAGAGTCTGCACCAGAGTCCAGGAATCCACTTTCCAGCCCTCAGGAGTGGGGGTGAGCCCAAGGAACCCCAGAACCACACACTGCATGGCTGGAACCACCACACTGTCTCTCCCAGACCATGTCATACCTTCCACGTGACGGGGAAGTGGTGTAAGTGATACAATTGCAGCATCTGTGATTAAAGTGTTTTGCTCTTCAAATTAGTTTTGCCTCCACGATGTCGTTTGCTCTTCAACCACAACAGCTCCTGAGAGAAACCAAAATACGTTTGTTTAAAAAGGTGCATGTTCCAAAAGGCAGAGCTTGTTCTTAACTGGCAGAAAGTTTTGCAGTGCACACATTACACCTCTGTCACTCAAAAAGTAGCCAAGAGGTTTGAAAGCAGGCAGAGTTAGTTAAATGAGTATTCAGGAACTGAGGCAAATGTCCTGCTCTAAAGATACTTAAAGTTTATCTGCGGTTACAGTGCTGGTGCTAATATGTTGACTACTCTAAAGATACCTAAAGTTTATCTGCAGTTACAGTGCTGGTGCTAATATGCTTTCAACAAGAGAATAGAATCCCTCAGTGACCACAACTGGATTTTGGGTTTGTTAGGAAAAAAAGAAAACTTGCCAAGTTACCAGACCTGCAGGGAGGAGTGATGGGTTTGCAGACAAAAGGTAAAGACACTGTTTTTCCCCATGTTTTGATTATGAATTATGTTTTGTTGCACATCTCTCCTTAGTGCATCATTCAGCTAAGTGACTGTATGTTTCAGAAGTACAAAAAGTAATAGCCAAGTGGTGTGATGTATAACCTTGTACTTGCATAGCCCAAACAGCATTTACCAGACATAAAGCTGTCCCTGTAGCTTTTATTTGAAAGTCACTATCCAAAAGTCTCCTCATTATGGATGTTTCTGTAACATGCAGTTGTAAAAAAGCAAGAATCGTTTGACAAAAAGGGGCCAAATAATGCCAAATTTGTCACTACTCTAGTGCCAGAAAGCAATTCAAGTCCAAAACCACACAAAACTGAAAAGATAGTGGAGTTGGGTTTTGATACTTTGTGTGGATTTGTTTAGGCCCTAGTTAATACTGGAGCAAGCCTTACTTTAGTAGATGAATGAGTCAGAGTGAAACGTGCCCCCTTGGCAGGGAACAGGGCACCAAGGCATGTAAATGATGTAGCCAAACTTTGGCTTTCAGCATGCAGCAGAGAAAGCTGCTAAGAATGTTAGAACTCAGACTGGATTTTGAAAGAGTAAGTAGTTACATGTGATTCTGAATTAACCTTTTAACTCAAAACTCACTTAGTGTCATCAGCCCTTCTTGGGTTATTTTTGTCTTTCTGAAACTAGAGAACTTCTTTCTGCTAGAAGTAACTCTGTGGTGGTGGTTTTTAGCTTTGGAATTGACCTGAGTTTTCTAACACATTCTTTCTGCTAGAAGTAACTCTGTGGTTCTGGTTTTTAGCTTTGGAATTGACCTCAGTTTTCTAACATGAGTGTCTGGCCCAGGGAGAGAACGAGCTGAAAAGCATTTGTCATTCAGGTGCCTACTTCTATTTTACTTAATGGAATGATGCAGAGAAATAACATTTGGGGTCTGGAAGTTTGCACAGTTAGAAGTTACATGTAAATGTACAGTGAAATGGTCTTTTATAGGACCTTTTATATTATAGTCTTAGAGCACTCTGCAAACATTAAGAAAGTAATGATTTCCCCACTGTCTGATTAGTTCTTATTACTGCATTGTGGGGAAGAATCTGTGGTGGATCTCTAAAATACATTTTGTTTTAATACAGCAGTTGTGTTTCCTGCACACAAAAGCAGGTAAGGTAGTTGTTAGAGTCCTAATTAGCAGATTTCTAACTTGAAATGTTTCCTGTTGCTAAGCCCAGTTCTCAGGCAGACCCAGGCTCCAGAAGAGGCTGTTTCAGAGGGACTCCAGATTAACCTTGAGGGTGTTCTGGCTAGGAATGTGTCTCCTGAACTACAGGCTCAGAGTTGTGCAGAGAGGTAAACCAAACTCACTTCTGCGGTGGTGAGAGTCCTAATTAGCAGATTTCTAACTTGAAATGTTTCCTGTTGCTAAGCCCAGTTCTCAGGCAGACCCAGGCTCCAGAAGAGGCTGTTTCAGAGGGACTCCAGATTAACCTTGAGGGTGTTCTGGCTAGGAATGTGTCTCCTGAACTACAGGCTCAGAGTTGTGCAGAGAGGTAAACCAAACTCACTTCTGCGGTGGTGGTGGTGTGGCCTGAACTACAGGCTCAGAGTTGTGCAGTGAGGTAAACCAAACTCACTTCTGTGGTGGTGGTGGTGTGCATTGCTCCTGTACCACAGGTTTAGGTCAGACAAATACAAGTTCAAACATTGCAGGGCCCTTGTGCTGCTTATTTTGTGCTTTACCAGCACTGCAGAACAGTGTGGGGTGTTTTTCTAAACAGAACATAGAGCTGCAGTGAGAAACTGGAAGCTCAAAGGAAATGCATAAGACAGGTTTGGATTATTTGGAAGTGATATCACCTGGACACTTACGTGAGAATTATTAGCAGAGAAATAGCTAATTGGATTTTTTGAAAGTGTTTTGATAATTTAGGAGAAAAAAAATTATTCCCAAATCATTGGGATTTGTGCTTCTAAGTGCTTTGAAAAACCAGTGCATAAATTGCCATCATTACATTTCACAGGTAGATCTTCACTGAGATCAGCAGGTAGCACAAACTGCTCAGAATAAATCTTTCAGTGATTCATGTCTGCCTAGAAAGGTGAGAGGATCCTAAGAGTTTATAGAGTACAACTTGAGTCCATTTATTTCTTTCATCTTCTATGAGTATCTCCTGCCTGAATTTCCACTTAAGATGACCACAAACCTTTTCCTTCTTCAGTGGAGATAGTATGCCCAACTGTAAGTGTGAATGTCCCATGATCAGTAACATGTGTAAGTTACCTAACAGCAGTTGTCTCTGATTAATTTTCACTGAGGCTGTGCAAAGTACTTCAGGTCACACTGATTCTGATGGAGCTGTCAGTGCTGCTACACATCTGAAGTCTCTGTACAACAGTGGCATGTCCCTGTGAGATGAAGGATCACTTCTGCCTTTCCTAGCCTTTAAAACAATATGATCAGCTTCCTTCAGCTGAACTGCTAGAGGTCTGAAGTCCAGAAAACAACCTTTATATGGTTAATTTGGGGAGAAAGTGATCTTCTAGTGCTTTACATAACCTAATCTCTGGATCAGGTCCTATACTTGATTTGGTACCCTCAGATTCTCCCTTCGGGTACTGAGCTCTGACTTCCCCAGCACACGTCCCCAGAAGGTAATGTGTGTTTCTGGTTTGACTTTTAGCTGCTATTACAACAGGGTTTTCTCTCTGACTTCTCACCTTAAACACTGCAGCAGCATCCCTCCTCTTCTCTGTCCCACTGTACTTCTGTCCACATTGATAGAAATTGCACACTGGTTTTTCTGACACTAGAGCCTGTAGTAGACATCCTAGAAATAGGAGCTCATCATTTTCTTTGCACCTGTTTTTTTACACACACCTCATTTCCTTGTTTCACAGGTAAGAAATCTCCATTCTGTATTTCCTCTCTTTTCAATTTGTGAAGTTTTCTCAACTAATTTTCTCTTCAGTACAACCTTATAAATCCCATCTAATGACCTGCTGGGTAATGTGCCATTATGGAAACATGTCTGATTCTTGCTGGTTTCAACCTCCAGTGCTAGAAATGAGGTGAAAAGAAAATTGTTCTGTTCCTATTTTCTATGCCTCTGACTAACCAGACAGTGTCTTTGTGTTGTCAAGGCAAAAAGAGACATGGACCATGTCATTTGGCCTCTCTTTGTCTGAGTCACAGATTCTTGCAAGGGACCAAAGTGTGATGGGTAATATACTGGTGTGATCAACAAATGGTTATGTGAATAAAAGAAAGAAATCTTCAGCACTTTTTCAGCCAAGACATCTGTCTGGATAATATTTTGTGTCAGGAACTGACCTGATGAGTAAAAATCCTGACTTCTACTCTCTGAAATATCAAGTGAAAAATTTAAGATAAGGTTTAAATTTCCCTCAGTAGTGAGATTTTTGGAAGAAAGAAGACAAAAATAGAACCATTACGGAAGGTGTCTTGCTTAATATGAGGGATGTGTAACAAACAGAGGAGAAATACTCTGCCTAGTGAACTTCTTTTAACCATTACCAGTCTCTTCTCTTAATACTTTCTTTTAGTTTGAATTAAAATCCTGTGCCAGGAAGCTTCCCAATACATCAGCAGTGGAACCTCATCCTCATCTTGGCTTGCTATTTAAAAAAAAAGTTGTATTAGGTACTTTTTTTTCCCCCCTCTAGCTCTGGTAAAGGAATCTGAAGCCAAATTCTGGACATATGTCACAAGAATAAATTTTGAAACTCTTGAATCAAGAGAGTTCTCAGCTCTTCTGGGGCAATCCTGTGTAAAACAAACAACCCTATCAAAAACTCACCCTAATCTCCTGTGATTATCTCATATTCTCTGTGCAATGAAGAAAAAAAATTAAGGTATTTTATATATTTCCCCATGTAGTAACCCCCAAAAGATCTCATGCATTACCTGTGCATTATTGAAAACAGTAACTTGTCATAAAAAATTGCATAAAATTCTGCCATAAATTAATTATAGTGATTTTTTATATCATGGATACACCTCTAAAAATACATAGAAACAGTAAGTGTGACTGTTTGTCTTGTTCCAGTCTCCAATGCATTAGCCTCTATTTCCATCTACCTGCTCCTCTTATCTTGCTCACCACATCATCCTTGCAGCTTGTATTCTTAGGGCTGCTCTGCATGTTGTTTTTCCACCATTCTTCCACTCGAGTGCTTTATGCTGTTATTTCTGAAAACAGACAAAACAGGTCTCTAAGGAAAACTTCCTCTCCTGCTTGCCCTGTGAAGCACAGTCATTTCACTCTGTTGTACTCACTGTTGCAGCCATTGCTGCTTGTAGCTTCAACCAGGTTGGCACCACACTCTGAAGAACTTGTCCTTGGAATGGAAACTTTCCTGACCATAAGAGACAAAAAACAGACAACAGAGAGAGGGGAAAAAATACAGAGTGAAAAGTTACCAGAGCAGAGGCAAAGGAATGGAATGATGCTTCCACTGAGGAAAGTGACTTGCATCCTCTGCAATTACTCTCTAATTAATACCCAGCGGTTTTGAGCAGCATTTATTAGAGGGAGAAGAACAGAGAGCAGAGGCAGGTACAGCACCCGGAGCTCATGGCTTCTCTCTTGAAGTTAATGTTCCTGTTTGTCTGATCTCTCAGGTCTTTATTTAAATTATTTAATTTATCATCAATTCTCTTAGTGTTTGGAAAAGAAATGTGAATTTTTCCATACTTTGTTGAGGAGAAACAAATCTTGTACCTAGAGCTCATCTCTTGCTGTCTCCTTCCCTTTCTTTTAATAGTATTCAGGCATCTGCTCTCTTGAGAAGAGTCATGAGCTATTCTCTGCCCTGTCCAGTTTGTGTCCTGTGGTGATGTAACTCCTCCACAAAGTCTGTTGCCTTGGACAGCTTCAATGGCTTTATTCCTAGTCCCTGTGGTTTTGGCTGGCTGAGTTCCTGTTCATCAAGATTACACTTACCTTACAGGTAATTTGCCATTTCAACATGGACTTACAGTGAAATATAGAAATTAATTGCAGATTTATTTCCATTTTCCATAGGATTTGCTCTATTCCTCTAAGCTGTGTGTGTGACATTCAGGCCTCTCTATTGCTTTGAAGTAAAAACTTGCTTATGTGGCACGTATACTCATCAGCTACTTCTTCCAGTAACCCTTGCACAGTATGTTTCTGGAGGAGGAAGGCCAGATGGACCTGGTCTGATAGGTGCATTGCTGAAAGCAAACTGTGCCATTAGTTAGCTCAGTACCAGGGGAATAGCAGGGATTGGTGCACCCTCTCCTGTTTTCCCCATGTTGGAAGAACAGGCTTGTTGTCCTTGATCAGTACTGTTTGTTGGGGAGGAGAGGGTGTTTATTCCAAGGGGGAGAGTGGCTAGGCCTGGATTTTCCCTGCCCCCAGGCACTCTGTGCTGCTCACAGGTTGTGCAGCCTAGAGCCACACAGAAGCTCAGTCCAATCCAAGATTATTTTTTAGTGTTAAATAGCAAATCACTCTTATAAAATCAGTTCTGTTTTAAACTCATATATATATATATATATAAGTGTTACATTCACAATGTGAATATTTGACTACCCTTGCTAAAACACAGTTGTTGGTGTGATGTCAAATCTTCTGGCGAACCCTGGGGGTTAGCAATAGCAGTAGTTTTA